TTATTCCAACACTGTCTTTTTCTTAAAAGATACTTCCAGACAGCCTGTTTACCATAGAATCCATATATAATTGATCATTACAGTCAGTACAATTAATCTAGTTATATGAGTGGAACTTCCAGTCTACACTGTAAGGCACATTAAAGGTGGGCCTGGGAAATGTGTCCATACAAGTCTTTTCATAATCTTTACTTACCTATAAGCTCGTGAAGCTGCATGATTGTAAACTCTATAGCTGTAAATTTACTTTTCTGTGCCAGGTTTCTCAGTCATTATCATGATGACTGGTTTAAACTCTCCTTTGATAGCTAATTTAATTTACTGAATCGTATTGGCACATTAGGTACCCAGTACCCTGGATTTCACTGGAGACTGGTCACATAGATGCCATCTCTCCTGGACATACACCAAATTTCTAGACTCCAGAAACAAACCAGATGTTCAACATAGACTATATCATTTGCACAAATAGCTTAGGCAAAGAAAACCACTCTTAAGTTTCCAGGAATAGTGGGAATTCTCAAATCGAGTAGTTCCCAGACATCAGTTGAGGGCCAGCATTGAAGGCAGGCCTTTCTAAGAATGGCCTACTGCCAACTCCTAGGCAGCCATTGTCGTTATCGTATTTGTCAAAGGTCACACGCTGATTGTCTAACCAAAATCTGTACCTTCATTAGCACACCACAGTGTTGAACTCTATGGTGATGTATAAATAACTGAGGTGTTCATATGGTAGAAGATTTTCTATATGATGAGTTTTTGAGGAGACAAGGAAATGTTGTATTATATTAATTTTTAAAAAGCAAGAAGTAAAATTTCATATCAGTATGACCTCAACTCTGTAAAATAAACATTATTTTTGGAACGACTAGAAGGAAATACACCTCTAGGTGGAGAAATTATACCTATTTGCTTGACTAATTATGATTTCCTATGCCTTTTCACTTTTTTGTTTTGTTTTGTTTTTGTTTTTTGGTAAAAGGGATTGAATCCAGGGTGCTTAACCATCAAGCCACATCCCCAGCTCTTATAATGTCTATATTATTTTGAGACAGAGTCACACCAACTTGCTTAGGGGCCTTGCCAAATTTCAGCAGCTGGCTTTGAATTCGTGATCCTCCTGCCTCAGCCTCCCGAGCCGCTGGCATTATGTGTGTGTGCTACTATGCTTAGCTCCTATCTTTTTTTTTTTTTTTTAACTTTTTTATACTCTATTAGTTTACTTTTTTATGTGATGCTGAGGATCAAACCCAGAGCCTCACATGTGCTAGGCAAGCGCTCTGCCACTGAGCCACAACCCCAGCCCCCTTTCCATTTTTTATGATCAAATATTATTTTTAGAATAAGAAAAAATTTAAAGAAAACTTTTTTAGTTAAAAAAGGGGCTGGTACATAGCTCAGTGGTAGAGTGCATGCTCAGCATGCATAGGACCTGAGTTCAATTCTCAATACCAAACCCAAACAAACTAAACCTCAGAAATTAAAACTAGCTGGGCACAGTGGTGCACACCTGTAATCCCAACAGCTTGGGAGGTTGAGGCAGGAGGATCAGCCAGCCTCTGCAATTTAGCAAAGTGCTAAGCAACTCAGTGAGACCCTGTCTCTAAATAAAATACAAAATAGAGCTGGGGATGTGGCTCAGTGGTGAAATGCCCCTGAGTTCAATCCCCAATCCCCCCTAACACCAATAAAAAGAATAAAAAGGTCTGGGGGTCCTGAGGGCTTGCCTAGCATGCTTGAGGTGCTGGGTTCTATCCCCAGCACCATGAAAAATAAATAAAAACCATTATTTTTGTTTCTCGGGATATTTATTAGTTTAACACAAGATGACTCTTCTCTGACAGCATTGTTACCCTTGTCCTTTCAGTTCGAGGGCAGCAACCTGCACCAGCTGGTTCTGAAGATTTGTCAAGCGCATTTTGCCCCCATATCACCTAGGTTTTCTCGTGACCTGCGGTCCTTGATCCCTCAGCTCTTTAAAGTTTCTCCTCGGGATCGACCATCTATTAATTCCATCTTGAAAAGGCCCTTTTTAGAGAATCTGATTGCCAAATACTTGACCCCTGAGGTGAGTTTTGAGGTGATTCTGTTTGTGTTGGGCAGAGATTTGAGTTGGCGGTTTCCTTGACACTTGTATTGGATTTTAGGTCATTCAGGAAGAATTCAATCATATGCTCAGATACAGAGCAAGATCATCTGCCTCCCCACCTGCTGGAAAGATGGTCCAGGGTAAGAATGATTTACCATGCAATCAAAGAACATTTATGGCCAGCGCGGTGGCACACTTCTGTAATCCCAGTGACTTGGGAGGCTGAGGCAGGAGGATCTCTAATACAAAAGTCAGCCTCAGCAAAGGCAAGGCTGCTAAGCATCTCAGTGAGATCCTGTCTCTAAATAAAATATAAAATAGGGCTGAGGATGTGGCTCAGTGGCAGAGTGCTTGCTTACTGTTCATTCCTTTGGTTCTAATCCCAGCAATGAAAAGGAAAAAGCATTTATGATCCTTTTGTGGTTCATAGTCCCAATGACTGGGTTTTCACAGCTTTGTGTGTGATGTCAACACATTATTTGTCTAATATTTTTTAAAAAGCATTTATTCTACGTGTCTCATATACTGAGTTTATTGAGTTACAGAGCTGGCAATGTTAGCAGAGGAATTCCATTAAATATATTGAACATGGACATTTAGAAAATATGCACAGTATGAACAGGAGAGAAATCACCTTGTTATCACGTAGTGACCAGTGGGTGTGTTGGAGAAGTTGTATATGTAACTCAAGATATCCTGGGGGGTTCAGCTCCTTTCTTCTTATAATTTAGGAACCTTCCAGAAGCTTTGAGAGGTCAAATCCAAGTTTAACATTTGTATGGGAAGGGATAGAGTGGGAGAAGTTTCACAGATGGACATGAAATGATGTAATGAAGTTTTTTACATCCCCCCCCCCCAGACATAGAGAGGATGGACTGGTAATTAGAATTCCTGGGGGTGTAGCACAATGGTACAGTATGTGCCTAGCATGCACAGGTGCACAGGGCCTGGGTTCTATCTCTAGCACCACACCAAAAAAAAAAAAAAAAAAAAAAAGAAGAAGAAGAAGAAGCATTCTCTTACAAAGAGAACTCTACATCTCTACATTGGAGCTGAAGTTGGGATCTTGGACCAAATTGAAAATAGTGTGAGCTCCAAAGGAAGCAAATGTTATTTTATGGTACTGGTAAGTAGAGAGAACAATTTTGATCATGGTGTCAAGAATTAGCCAGAGTGATGAATTACTAAATGTGCATGCATGTGGGGTGTACACTAAAGAAGAGAAAATGACTAATTCAACTAATGATGTGAAAGTAAGAGCAGGAGAATTTATCCATAATCAAATTTCTGGACTGAAAGGATCAGAAGGAGTAGAAAATCTCTCCGAGGCACCTGTGATGAGGAAATGTCATCCAATGTGCTGGAGAAGCTGACATTGAGGAAAGTCATAAAGGGAAAATGAGTTCATCTATCAGGCTAGATTGAGAATGTTTGAAAATAGATAAGTAGAGGGTGAGAGAAAATACATCATCCACATTTCTGATATAGGAAAAGGAAAACAAGAATGAATTTTAATGGAGGCAAAGACAAATATGTTAGAAGGAATATTTCAAACAATGATAAGATAGGAATAGTGTTGCCTGATAACCCAAGCTGTCGTGACTACATTTAATTACTTTTATCATTATAAATTGTTTTTATAAATATTTACATTAATTCCTCTTTTTAAAAGTAGTGTTATTCATTGCTCAAAATTTATAAAGAAACTCTGGGGGAAAATGGTTTTATTTTCTTTAAAAACGCAGAGAATGCATAGTGATATTTCTTTTTTTATTTTAATTTTTTAAAAGTACTTTTTTTTAGTTTTAGGTGGACACAATATCTTTATTTTACATTTATGTGGTGTTAAGGATCGAACTCAGTGCCTCATGCATGGTAGGCGAGTGCTCTACCACTGAGCCACAATCCTAGCCACCATAGAGATATTTCATCAGTGATTCTCTGTGTATAAAATATCTCTGGCCTGAGTAAACTTACTGTGTTATGAAATGTGTTCGTACTTAAGTATCAATAGTAAAGGTGTAGGAAAAAAATTCAAAACTAAAGTTATTTTATTTTGGTTAAATAAGATTCTAAAATACAGCGAGTGAAATTCCAGGGAAAGTTCCCTCCACGATCAAGAATATCAGTGCCATTTGAAAGGAAGGCTGTATTACCTAGAAAAAAATGGAGACCACCAGCTGGAACCCAGAAGCCC